CCTTTCATAAATAGTCTTCAAAGATAGAACTTACCAAAGGCAGACCTTCTCTGAAAAAGAAAACAAGCAACAAACAAATAGACAATCCATGCCTAGGGCCAGAGTCTATTTCCCCTTGTCTGCAGATCCTGTCACCTGTGCCTTGCACAGTACAGGGCTCCATGCAGGGCTACTGGATGAATGGGCACAACAGTGACAGAATGTTACTTTCCTTAGGATTTCTCAGCTTGTTCTCGGGTCTCTTCCTCTCTCAGACCACCCAGCCTGATACCCAGCATCTTATTTCTGATGGATCAAGGGCCATAGGGAATACCCAGGGTGACATAAGATGGAGTGGAAAGGGTGAAGGGTGTGTGCAGGCAGGGAAGGACAACAGCACGATGGTAATGTCACAGACAGATCTGGGCAAAAGAATGACACTCGAGGTATATCAACCACCTGTGACCAAAACCCCACCCAAGTCGGGCAGTGAGTACTGTGACAAAGCTGGGGCCGTAGCAACATCTAGACATACACATTCTATGTACATATTTCTTCTTTTATGTTCATACACAGACACACACAAAGACAACCAGAAAATAGAGGAAGGAAGACCATACCTTTAACTACCCTATCCAGATAGTGAGCTTGGGAGATAAAAGACAGGACATTTAAGGTAGGACCAAGTAAGTGCAGTACTGCCTGCCACATAACCATGCCAGGTGCTAAGGAGACACAGAGACATGTGCCCCATGTTTGGGACAGTCCTTTGCCATGTGAAAAAAAAAAAAAAAGACAAGATGACACGGGAGAGGAGGAGAGCAAGCACATTCTCCAAGAAAGGTCAAAAGGAACATCAATTCACTCTGGGATCCAGTGATTGGAACTGTGATCATATAAACAAGAAGACACATGGGTAAAGGAAATAGAAGAAAGAGTGGTAAGCTGTACAAGTGGCCACACTCCTGCTCTGTCAGGTTCATATGACTTTATGGAAAACTAGAGCTTGTCCCCGTGTCCACCCAGAGCAGCATACAACCTCCCACAAGGGGAAGCAGCTGCACTAAGAACAAGCTGTCTGGGCAGAGGTGTTCTCAAGAGGTTGGAATTTAGAAATACGCAAAACTTGAATAATCTCTGATAGGCACTAGAAAGTGGGCTGAGTCTTTGGTTGAATATACCACTAGCTTGTCTGTTTGCTACTCTTAAATTTTTTCATGTACACGTGGGTCCACATAGACTTGAATGCAGAACGTTTGGTGCTTTAAGTAAGATGCAGCCCTATTTTGTGCATCTTACATAGAAGATGAGGCACAGATCAATGGATGTCATTGTAAACACAATAAGAAAAAGAAAACTTGATTCTCAGTGCTTATTAGCTCAAAGGACAAATGACATATGTTTTGCTTTCCAATGCAGGGGCTATTTTCAGACCTTGAATTATTTGGTAAACTAAGGTTTTGCATATTTGTGAGGATGACTACTAGACATTTCTGTGGTATAAAATGAGTGTGCACATGTAGGGGTGCCTGTCTGTCGTCAGAGCAGGACTGGCCTCTACACCTTTCCTTGTAAGGCTGCCTTGAGGAGCTCCCTCTCACTTGTCTCTTCACTCCTACCCTCTTGTGTGCTCCCACAAAGCCTACACAGATAGAGACCTCCTCCTCTACCTGAGCTAGGCCTTCAGCTAGGCTGAACCCATTCTCAGCTCTATTTTGCATGGGAATCAAAAGTCCACAAGATAGCATTGGGCTGTAATAGTGTGGCCTGACCTGAAAGCCCTAAGATGCCATAAACAATAATATCATGCTTTATCTTGTCATTAAAAAATGAATTTTATTTTTGAATCTTCTAGATAGACACCATCTCTCTCTCTCTCCCTCTCTTTGCTTTAAGGGACTGGTAGATAGGAAGCTCTGTTTTTAGTGTCATTGTTTCAAGATGAAATATGCTCTTGGAGGCTGCAATGCCACATGGAAATGGGAAGAGATTTAACAGGGCCTGCATGCATCCCTTCTCTCTTACATGGTGTCCGTGGGATAGCAGGAAATAAGATAATGTGAATGACAGTGGCTTATTAAGCAGCAGTGAATAAATAAAGCTGTGGAAAGCCAAACACAGGGACTGCCCACATAAAAAAAATGAAACATAGGGACTGCCCACATGAAAAACAGGCTAGGAAACATCTCTGGCTAAGGGCAAGACTTCTTTGATTCTTAGTTTATTTATTACATTAAGCTTAGATAAGAGTATTCACTTAATTTTACAAAATGGTTTACAATTTCTTAAATATCATCTCCTAGGATGTCAGAGCTTTGTCATCAAGGGCAAGACTACATGGGATCTTCCGGCTTGGGTGGTTTTCTTAGCTCCAAGGTCTGCAGAGTCTTTTGGAAAGTCCGAATTATAAATTCTTATAGACTCTGAGCCTCATAACGGAAGAGGTGGAGTGAGTCCCAGGAATGGGTAGGCTAGATGAATCATCTTCATTGGAATCCAAATGACCACATAACTGTACAGCCTCCATACTGAGGGAGTTCTCTGAAGAGAAAGCATCTTTGATTGTCTCTAAACTTGATAGTGATCTCATGATCTCATAGCTCTGATGGCTACTGAAAATTAAATCTACTCTACAGGATAATCTGAAAGCCAGGGCTCACTTCAGAGAGCTCTCTCATTCTCTCTTTAAATGCCATTTCATTTTTTAAAAATTATGTAGTTATAATGATCTCCACTAAATGCAAATATGTTTTTAATACCTTTAAAAATATTTGCTTATTGCACCAGTCCACAGACAGCAATAGAAGCCAGTAAAAGTGACTGAGGTAGGCTTGGGAAAAATCAGCATTGTGAGTTTTAGGAGATAAGTGAGGACATTCAAAGTTTTAAACCCTGACTCTGAAAATCAAAAGGGATTCCTGTGCTACAGAGACCTCAAGCTACATTGCGAATCCAAAAGCTGATAACAGCCAGTCAATACCAGGTCCAAGAGACTTCTGGAAATGTAACAGAGCTTCCTTATCTCTGGCTATTGAAAATGGAAGTGAAAAGTAGGTCTTTGAAGCCCAATGGCATTTATTTATAAGAGGCGTATGCAGAAGTCCATACTGTTGTTGCTGTTATTGCTTGAAAATCTTGACATATATGCTCTTGAATATAATCATTTTAAAATCTGTGGCTTTGAAGTACTGACTCTGAAGAAAAGATGATGCCAAGTTTATAAGTTTCTATTATGGAAGACAGATTCAGAAGACCTCACAAAATTCTTGCATCTTTACAAAACTCCTGTATCTTTCTCCTCAGGACTCCAGGATGAGGGTGATAGCAGTACAGTTATCTTTTTCTATGGGCCATATTTGTTTCTTTGCCATTGCACAAATGTTTCCTAAATTCCTACTAACTTCCTGTCATTCATCTGAGAAGCAGAGGACAGTGTTGGCACATAGGTGTTTATGATACTCTGAGCTTTTGGTGTGAGGTTGCTGTGGGAGCTCTTAGGTCTCTTTGGCATTTCTATGACCACCAATTTGAGAATTTCTACCAGTGATCTGCCTGCACCAACAAAGGCTCCTAAAAGTTTCTCTCAGGATAAAGAAGCTTCAGGGTCCCTATAAAGGTTATGAAGAATATGGCAAGAGCCTCAGGTCAACTCTAACAGCTGCATTATTAGTCCACATTAAGCTAGATGAAACAGGGATCAATACAGAAGGTGGTATGTGTGGTGGTTATAATCACCTGGACTTGGGAGGCAAAGTGCCAAAGAGATGTTCTTGTTAACATCCTTGATAAATTCATGCTCTTCTTTGTTTGGATGAAGGAGTGGTAAGCGGCCAATGACACCCACCCTGAAAGGAGCCTACAAATCCCAACAGCTTTCCTCCAGTGTCCCATCCCTATTGTGTGTGCTGCAATCTTCCAATGTTGTCAGCAATCAACTCACACTGTGTAGCTTGAGGTAGATCCCTGTATATCTTCTCTCTTTCCTTGTCACCATTTGCCCTGTTGGTTCTCAGCTTTTGAGGAGGGATAGGCATAGGGTTATCATACAAGTGCTGATATTTCATGGGCAGTTTCTAAGCTCTTGATGAAGAACTGTCTGATTACAAAAAGGAAACCTGAGCACTAGCATTCAGAAGTGGACAAAACACTCCAAAAGAGTCTGTGGCTTTCTTTGTAAACTCCCTTCTTCATGAGGTCTGGTTTTGCTCACTCAAGTAATTGTACCAATGGAGTATTATTTTGATCTTTATTCCCAGAGGAGGCTTTTGTTTACGAATAAAGATTTATGTGATTGGACAGCTTTCCTGAAGTTGAATAAATAATTCTGTATATCTGGCATCTTGAACAATCACAGCTTTGGGGTCAAGGTTGGAATTTTATAAATGTAATCAGAAGCTGGCATTGCCCACACATGTTTTGAGACTTCATAGATGAGGGGTACTGAGGTGAATAAAATCATCATCATAGAATTGATCCAAAATGTTAGTAGTGTTTTCAAAGAAATGGGAAAAATTAAACACCTTCTTAAATTTAACTGTGATTTTCAGATTTTGCTACGGAAATCAGAGTTCAAGTCCTGAATTTAAGAGGTCCATAAAATTTCTAGAAAAGACATCCAAACATATGCATTTGAAGACTGTGCTGAGTTATGATTCACTGACCTAGTCCAACCATGGTTCTAGTGATGATATTTTTCTGAACTACGGAAATTAATTTCCAAATAAAGCCTTCTTCCAAATTAAGGGCAAGAACAAGAATATGATGACAGTGTAACTAATACTTGTTGAGCATCATTCTTGTTCACTGGTAATCCTTTAATATTAATCATTTCACATAATCCTCACGCCAACCCTATGAGGTCCATTCTGCTATAGATTATAAAAGATTCTGAAGTGAAATGACTCACCAGATGTCACTTGATTTGTAAAGTGTGGGAGCTGGGACTCAAACAATCTAGACATACACATTCTATGTACATATTTCTTCTTTTATGTTCATACACAGACACACACAAAGACAACCAGAAAATAGAGGAAGGAAGACCATACCTTTAACTACCCTATCCAGATAGTGAGCTTGGGAGATAAAAGACAGGACATTTAAGGTAGGACCAAGTAAGTGCAGTACTGCCTGCCACATAACCATGCCAGGTGCTAAGGAGACACAGAGACATGTGCCCCATGTTTGGGACAGTCCTTTGCCATGTGAAAAAAAAAAAAAAAGACAAGATGACACGGGAGAGGAGGAGAGCAAGCACATTCTCCAAGAAAGGTCAAAAGGAACATCAATTCACTCTGGGATCCAGTGATTGGAACTGTGATCATATAAACAAGAAGACACATGGGTAAAGGAAATAGAAGAAAGAGTGGTAAGCTGTACAAGTGGCCACACTCCTGCTCTGTCAGGTTCATATGACTTTATGGAAAACTAGAGCTTGTCCCCGTGTCCACCCAGAGCAGCATACAACCTCCCACAAGGGGAAGCAGCTGCACTAAGAACAAGCTGTCTGGGCAGAGGTGTTCTCAAGAGGTTGGAATTTAGAAATACGCAAAACTTGAATAATCTCTGATAGGCACTAGAAAGTGGGCTGAGTCTTTGGTTGAATATACCACTAGCTTGTCTGTTTGCTACTCTTAAATTTTTTCATGTACACGTGGGTCCACATAGACTTGAATGCAGAACGTTTGGTGCTTTAAGTAAGATGCAGCCCTATTTTGTGCATCTTACATAGAAGATGAGGCACAGATCAATGGATGTCATTGTAAACACAATAAGAAAAAGAAAACTTGATTCTCAGTGCTTATTAGCTCAAAGGACAAATGACATATGTTTTGCTTTCCAATGCAGGGGCTATTTTCAGACCTTGAATTATTTGGTAAACTAAGGTTTTGCATATTTGTGAGGATGACTACTAGACATTTCTGTGGTATAAAATGAGTGTGCACATGTAGGGGTGCCTGTCTGTCGTCAGAGCAGGACTGGCCTCTACACCTTTCCTTGTAAGGCTGCCTTGAGGAGCTCCCTCTCACTTGTCTCTTCACTCCTACCCTCTTGTGTGCTCCCACAAAGCCTACACCGATAGAGACCTCCTCCTCTACCTGAGCTAGGCCTTCAGCTAGGCTGAACCCATTCTCAGCTCTATTTCGCATGGGAATCAAAAGTCTACAAGATAGCATTGGGCTGTAATAGTGTGGCCTGACCTGAAAGCCCTAAGATGCCATAAACAATAATATCATGCTTTATCTTGTCATTAAAAAATGAATTTTATTTTTGAATCTTCTAGATAGACACCATCTCTCTCTCTCTCCCTCTCTTTGCTTTAAGGGACTGGTAGATAGGAAGCTCTGTTTTTAGTGTCATTGTTTCAAGATGAAATATGCTCTTGGAGGCTGCAATGCCACATGGAAATGGGAAGAGATTTAACAGGGCCTGCATGCATCCCTTCTCTCTTACATGGTGTCCGTGGGATAGCAGGAAATAAGATAATGTGAATGACAGTGGCTTATTAAGCAGCAGTGAATAAATAAAGCTGTGGAAAGCCAAACACAGGGACTGCCCACATAAAAAAAATGAAACATAGGGACTGCCCACATGAAAAACAGGCTAGGAAACATCTCTGGCTAAGGGCAAGACTTCTTTGATTCTTAGTTTATTTATTACATTAAGCTTAGATAAGAGTATTCACTTAATTTTACAAAATGGTTTACAATTTCTTAAATATCATCTCCTAGGATGTCAGAGCTTTGTCATCAAGGGCAAGACTACATGGGATCTTCCGGCTTGGGTGGTTTTCTTAGCTCCAAGGTCTGCAGAGTCTTTTGGAAAGTCCGAATTATAAATTCTTATAGACTCTGAGCCTCATAACGGAAGAGGTGGAGTGAGTCCCAGGAATGGGTAGGCTAGATGAATCATCTTCATTGGAATCCAAATGACCACATAACTGTACAGCCTCCATACTGAGGGAGTTCTCTGAAGAGAAAGCATCTTTGATTGTCTCTAAACTTGATAGTGATCTCATGATCTCATAGCTCTGATGGCTACTGAAAATTAAATCTACTCTACAGGATAATCTGAAAGCCAGGGCTCACTTCAGAGAGCTCTCTCATTCTCTCTTTAAATGCCATTTCATTTTTTAAAAATTATGTAGTTATAATGATCTCCACTAAATGCAAATATGTTTTTAATACCTTTAAAAATATTTGCTTATTGCACCAGTCCACAGACAGCAATAGAAGCCAGTAAAAGTGACTGAGGTAGGCTTGGGAAAAATCAGCATTGTGAGTTTTAGGAGATAAGTGAGGACATTCAAAGTTTTAAACCCTGACTCTGAAAATCAAAAGGGATTCCTGTGCTACAGATACCTCAAGCTACATTGCGAATCCAAAAGCTGATAACAGCCAGTCAATACCAGGTCCAAGAGACTTCTGGAAATGTAACAGAGCTTCCTTATCTCTGGCTATTGAAAATGGAAGTGAAAAGTAGGTCTTTGAAGCCCAATGGCATTTATTTATAAGAGGCGTATGCAGAAGTCCATACTGTTGTTGCTGTTATTGCTTGAAAATCTTGACATATATGCTCTTGAATATAATCATTTTAAAATCTGTGGCTTTGAAGTACTGACTCTGAAGAAAAGATGATGCCAAGTTTATAAGTTTCTATTATGGAAGACAGATTCAGAAGACCTCACAAAATTCTTGCATCTTTACAAAACTCCTGTATCTTTCTCCTCAGGACTCCAGGATGAGGGGGTGATAGCAGTACAGTTATCTTTTTCTATGGGCCATATTTGTTTCTTTGCCATTGCACAAATGTTTCCTAAATTCCTACTAACTTCCTGTCATTCATCTGAGAAGCAGAGGACAGTGTTGGCACATAGGTGTTTATGATACTCTGAGCTTTTGGTGTGAGGTTGCTGTGGGAGCTCTTAGGTCTCTTTGGCATTTCTATGACCACCAATTTGAGAATTTCTACCAGTGATCTGCCTGCACCAACAAAGGCTCCTAAAAGTTTCTCTCAGGATAAAGAAGCTTCAGGGTCCCTATAAAGGTTATGAAGAATATGGCAAGAGCCTCAGGTCAACTCTAACAGCTGCATTATTAGTCCACATTAAGCTAGATGAAACAGGGATCAATACAGAAGGTGGTATGTGTGGTGGTTATAATCACCTGGACTTGGGAGGCAAAGTGCCAAAGAGATGTTCTTGTTAACATCCTTGATAAATTCATGCTCTTCTTTGTTTGGATGAAGGAGTGGTAAGCGGCCAATGACACCCACCCTGAAAGGAGCCTACAAATCCCAACAGCTTTCCTCCAGTGTCCCATCCCTATTGTGTGTGCTGCAATCTTCCAATGTTGTCAGCAATCAACTCACACTGTGTAGCTTGAGGTAGATCCCTGTATATCTTCTCTCTTTCCTTGTCACCATTTGCCCTGTTGGTTCTCAGCTTTTGAGGAGGGATAGGCATAGGGTTATCATACAAGTGCTGATATTTCATGGGCAGTTTCTAAGCTCTTGATGAAGAACTGTCTGATTACAAAAAGGAAACCTGAGCACTAGCATTCAGAAGTGGACAAAACACTCCAAAAGAGTCTGTGGCTTTCTTTGTAAACTCCCTTCTTCATGAGGTCTGGTTTTGCTCACTCAAGTAATTGTACCAATGGAGTATTATTTTGATCTTTATTCCCAGAGGAGGCTTTTGTTTACGAATAAAGATTTATGTGATTGGACAGCTTTCCTGAAGTTGAATAAATAATTCTGTATATCTGGCATCTTGAACAATCACAGCTTTGGGGTCAAGGTTGGAATTTTATAAATGTAATCAGAAGCTGGCATTGCCCACACATGTTTTGAGACTTCATAGATGAGGGGTACTGAGGTGAATAAAATCATCATCATAGAATTGATCCAAAATGTTAGTAGTGTTTTCAAAGAAACCTGAGCACTAGCATTCAGAAGTGGACAAAACACTCCAAAAGATTCTGTGGCTTTCTTTATAAACTCCCTTCTTCATGAGGTCTGGTTTTGCTCACTCAAGTAATTGTACCAATGGAGTATTATTTTGATCTTTATTCCCAGAGGAGGCTTTTGTTTAAGAATAAAGATTTATATGATTGGACAGCTTTCCTGAAGTTGAATAAATAATTCTGTATATCTGGCATCCTGAACAATCACAGCTTTGGGGTCAAGGTTGGAATTTTATAAATGTAATCAGAAGCTGGCATTACCCACACATGTTTTGAGACTACATAGATGAGGGGTACTGAGGTGAATAAAATCATCATCATAGAATTGATCCAAAATGTTAGTAGTGTTTTCAAAGAAATGGGAAAAATTAAACACCTTCTTAAATTTAACTGTGATTTTCAGATTTTGCTACGGAAATCAGAGTTCAAGTCCTGAATTTAAGAGGTCCATAAAATTTCTAGAAAAGACATCCAAACATATGCATTTGAAGACTGTGCTGATCTTACACTTGAGATATACATCTGAATCAATCCCTCTTACCTTAAGTTCTAGACTAGAAAAACTGGGTTCCATATATGCAAGTAGGACTGGTAGTATCAAGGAAGCAAAGACAAAAAATGAAGAATCCCTTTTCCCTTCCTGTGATATTGCTAAAGACAAGTGAATCAGCTTCAGGCTGATGGGTGTTCAGTTCTTTGGGCAGGAGAGGAGAGGACTAGAATTTCTTACCCTTGGGGACCTCTTTCAGCCACCCTATTCTGAGATGCACAGGGAGAGAAACTGAGACCCAAGCCATCATGTGTCCTTTCCATGACACTTTCACTACAGACCTCTCTTCCAGATGCAAAGAGATAGCAATTCCCAGCACAAGGCATTAGGTTTCAAATTGAAGTGTTCTTGCTGCTTGAAAAATACAAATACTGTCATTAAAGAGGATGCCACTTTCAAGTTTCCTCTCCTTTTGAAAACCAACCTCTTTTGAGAAAAATCAAGTTTCTTCCATGAGAGATAAGGTGGGGGGGCAAAGCCCCCAAAAGAAAGTATTTAAACTCCTACTGTAACAATCTGCTACGAGAAGTGTCCCTGAGGTAAAAAGGTTCCTACACTGGGGACTTGGCCACGAGGAGGCTAGACTCCTCTTCTTCTCTGAGCTCTTCATTCTTTCTGTGAGGTAATCAAGGCGTTCTCTCCTGTCTGTGGAGGCAGCAGTGTATAAGGAAACAGAGCCCCCTCTCTTTTGTTTCCACTACCTGGAGGCCTCTGAGTTAGTGTCATGGCTGTGACGTCTTCCTCTGGTGTGGGAGATGGCTAAGCTGCAGTGTAGGGAGTAGCTGCTCGGTAATAATTTACTGTGTAAAAATGAAATTTGATAATGAGAAAAAACTTAATAATTCAAATTTCTAACTTTTCACATCAGCAGTTATTTTCTTTTTCAAAATGACCCTTCCAGGAAGTGCATTTCCCTGGAAACGTAAGGAAACACTTGTGATCACTGCAGATTAAAAAAGGATTTCTTCTCATTTCTATTGTAACGAGAAAAGAGAAAAGGCATCCACCGCTGTTTCTTTAATTTTCATTCCCCTTTCTCTTCTGTCCTACAGGGGTGCTGAAGTGTTCCTTCAGCTGAGGTGTTGAATTTCTCATGGGGATGCAGTGAGCCACAGCAGAGATCCACAGAGAGAAGGTTGCCATGCAGGGAAATTAGACAAGGACAAAGAAAATGCACACCAGACAATGAAAAGTAATAGACATCTGAGCCAAAGTCCTTTCATCTGAACCACTGTAACTAGTCCATTATGTCTTCAATGTCCTATGACATTTTTTCTGGTATTTAAAGCTGTCAACCTGACTTTTATATTGTGCACATTTACCTTGATGCATTTCCTATCTGGGGAAAAGCCACCTGCGACTCTGAGGAGGAAAGTTTCTTCAAGGCTGACAACAGGGTGAGCTGGGGAGGTAGAGAGAAAAGTCTGACGGCCTGGGATCAAAATAGATGGAACCTCCTTAAGGCCAGGCTGATAACTATCTCCAAGTTACCAGATGCAGCTCAGCCTCCCTATAACCCCTGTCATGAATTATCTGCACTGATCTAAGTTGCTAGTCACTTGACTCTGATGAGATGCTTTATCTCCTAAGAGCTGAACATTTATAAAGTATTTGGAATTTTGTATAACAAGCTGAGGAATCTGAGCAAGTAGGAGTGAATACAGAATGTGCTCTCCTCAGGCTCTGATTAAAAAAAAAAAAAGTATCAATGTGCCATCTTCTGAGCTGGGAGTCTGAAAGGTCAGTCTGTCCTTACTCATGCAGAAAAGTGGAGAGGGGAAAGCACAGTGTAAAGAGGGCTCCTGGGATGACTCAGGCCTGTTCTCAGTAAGAGGTTTCCAGGACAGTGCTAAGGTAGGATGACAATGACATAATGAAGCCATCACTCAGTGTGCAGTAAGATAACATGGTACATTCTGCTGTGGAGTAGCAGGGAGGACTGTCACCCTTCACTAGGGAGGGCCTTTGTTAGGAGTGGGTCCTGCATAGATTAGGAGAGGAACTCATTGCTCCTGAGAAAGAAAAAGGCGCAGCCTGGGGGAGAGAAAGGAGCTTGAGTGGAAATCTGGGCTTTGTTGTGTGAGGACTGCAGAGCGGACAGCTGCTGAGGAGAAACCCAGGCTGCAATTCCTGCTGTACCTCTTTAAGTTACATGACCTTTAGCCTCAGGTCTCTGTAAAGGAGAAAGTAATCCATACCGCTTCACTCTGCTAGGAGTACAGAATAAAGCAGTTCTAGCTTTTTGCACAGCACTTGGTATACAGTAAATACTCAAGAAAGTAAAGCCATTGTTATTAAAAATGTAAGGTATGCAATCACCATCTATCCAGTGATATTTCAGGGGCAGGGATCAAGGATATAAACTAATCCTTGGTGGCAAATGGCAAAAGGAAAAGATTGAGGAATAAAAAACCCACAAAAGGTAAGAGGTAGCTCCATTTGCTTAAAATTCTTTTCTCAGTCCAAAGCTTAAGGAATTGTCTTCCAGTTTTCATAAGCACTACAAGGTCACTTTCCAGGCCACAGAGGCACCTGGAATCCTGCCTTCTAAAGCCATGTGCTCACCATCTGATTACAGAACCTTCCTTGAAAAAAAATGCCAAGGGAAGGAGTTAAAATACACATATACAAACCAGTTGATTCAATAAAGAGCTTTCAGTGAGTGTTCATTCCAGGATAATAAACCAAGCAAAACGTCTGGCTGTGTTTAAAATCAACAAAACCAGCAGGAAAAACGGAGAGACGGGGAATGGAGTGATCAGCTTGTTTTTAAAGCTGCCAACAGTGCTGCTTCAGCAGGGGCCCATGCAGAGGAGCCCCCAAGAGAGGAGAAAGGAGACAAATGCAGACAGGACAGAAGCTGAGGACAGAGGAGGGCAGAATGCAGATGTGGCTGGGGCTGTGGAGAGCTTTCTGGGGATTCTAGCCTCTGCGGCAGCTTCCTAGGTCAGAGGGTGAGGAGGGCCAGGGCCGAATCTGAGTTGTCCCAAGCAGATAATACGATTGACAATAATGGCTATATGGATCGAGCACTGCACTCACGTCAGCTTCTGCTAAGCTCTTCATGTGCCTTATTCTCCCTATTTTATAAGGAAGCTGAGGCTAAGGAAGGTGATGGGACTTGCCTGTGGCCGCTAAATGCAGTCATCTTCCTCATTCCTGAGCACAAAGCTGTACTGCATTTAGTCCCGGCAAAGCTAAACAGCAAGGCCTGCTCACCATGAAAATAGGGCCTGGGAAATGCAAAGTGGGATGAATAAGGTAGAAAATGCTAATTGTGAATGACTTTAAATCCAATTGATGTCTAGGAAAAGCCATTTATAATGTTACCAGATGAAAGGACTTTTGGCCCCTTCCCGCATGCGATGGGGTTCCAGACTGGCCCCGAAGGGCCCAACAGACACAGACGTACTGCAGACTACACACGTTCCCTCGCCTGTGGTCGCCATACCAATGGTGCAGTGCTCGCCGTTCCAGCCCACGCTGCACTCGCACTTGCCATCGCGGCAGGTCCCATGCTCGGCACAGCGCGGGTGGCAGGCCCGCTGGTCACACGCTGCCCCCATCCAGCCATCCTCGCATCGACAGGTGCCCCCAATGCAGACACCGTGGCCACCACAGTCCGCAGCGCAAATCTCTGTGGGCAGGGGAAGGAGGTAGGGAGCAAGCACCGGAGGGGAGAGGGGCAAGGGAGGAGACAGAAAAAGACAAGATTTGAGTAAGTTGTCGTGGGGAACAGGGTCACACGTGGCTACCTTACCCAGGCTTCTGTGAGTGGCTGGGATTCCAGCTGCTTGGGAGACTAATCTCCATGGACAATGACCCTCAAACAAGAACCATTCTCTGGGCAGTAGCCTGCTTAGAGCCCATTTCTGCATCAAAACAGAAGGAATTGAAGGGCTCTGCTCTATTTGCTTTTCCTCCTTGCCAGCCTTTCTCTGCTTTTGTGCTTGCCACTTCCAAATGGGACCGGCCTTCCCAACAGATGTGAGAAAAAGTCAAATTTAATTAAAAACCGGTAATGTGTGGAAACAAAGTGAGGATGAGTCCCTTTTGCCAAATGAAGGGCTTGTGGGCCTGGCTGGGGAGTACGAAGAGCTTTGGGCCAGCATGGGACTAGAGCTTTGACTCTGGGGAGAGTGGAGGTGGCTGGGCTCGTGCACCCTGGTATACTCTGGGCTGTGGTCCAAAACCTGCCATTTGTTCTATGTTTGCTGAGTTTATTCTCTGTCCTCCACCTTGCTGCTTCCTCCCTCAACTCCAAGCACCATCTAAATGGGCTTTCAGATCCAAAGCAAACAGCTGGTAGTGGTGATGGTGGGTGGGGGGCACTTCACGGCCACAGTGCAGTTGCCTGGTCTTTCACAAAGGCCCTTCTGTGAGACTGTGTAGAGCATACAGGGCCTGATTCACAAGCCCTATGGGCTCCAGGCCAGCAATGGCTTTGTGCTTACTGCAGGCAGAGGTTGTGAAGGTTCCAAAATGCAACTGCTCTTCAGGAAAGAGGCTGAGCAACTGTTTCTACAGATGCTCTCTGCCAGGGCTCTGATGGAAAGCCAAGCATCACTCTTAAGCCTCATGGCCCAACAGTCTTCCAATTCATGTGAAAAGTCTAACACTTCAGATTTCTTTTGAATTAAATTAACTGGCACCTGTGTCAAGTTGCCTTTGTCCATTACCCCCTTTCACGTGGCAGTGCTGGTCTAAAAGCTGCTAATATTCTAGTTATTTTTTTGAAAAATACAAAAGAAAATTAGACTTCAGAGGCTCAACTTTCCTTGCCAGCCTAGTAGACAATGGATAAAATGGTTGCAAATTTTAAAAAAACATAGTAAGAATTGCTATTTATGGGTGTTCTATGCTAGACACCCTGCGGGGCACATCACCTCAAAAGGGTGGTACAGAATTTCATAGTTGCAGTCCTACCTCAGTTTTCCCAGCTGCCCACGAGTGGCTGCTGCTAAAAATGGGTAGACAGTTCTGGCCTGGAGCACGGACGTGGGTCCTACGCCAGGCATAGGAGCTTCTGATCCATGTGCCCCCCAGGCAAGTGTCTTGACTTCCTTGAGCCAGGGTTCCTGGCCCAGGAAGGGTAGGTACCATGATGCCATCTCACAGCAGCCCTCTGCTGACCTGGGGAGCTGTAGCGATCACTCATTGAGGCAGACCACACAAAAGACCGTGGCCAAGATTAAGGAACTCTAGAAAGTATTCCTAAAATCGAGGTCAAGACATTGAGATTTAGACTGGGAGTCCAAAGAGGTCTGTGTGGTCCATACCTGCTCTGCACTGATCTGTGAGGGGACCTTGAGAAGGAAGGTTACTACCTCTCTCCGTGTATCTGTCTCCTCATTTATTTTAGTGGGAACCTGGTGGTATGTAAGGTCCTTTCAGGCTCTAAGACTATGGGGTTCTATGATATGGTTACCCCCATCCCCAGTTACACATATTCCATCCCCAAGGCTTGGCTCACATGTCCTGCCTCCTCTGAGAAGTCCACTGTGATTTACCTCGTGGTTATTCTCTCGCTCCTTCCCATCCCATATTGCATGCTACAGTGATTTTCTGTTTCTGTGCCTGTCTCACTGTCAGGCTACGAACACCCTGAGGCTGGGGCTTGTTCCTTTGATCACCTCTGTACCTGGCACCAGCACAAGTCCTGGCATAGAACATACCCCCTATAAAAGGCTTGTTCAATAATGCTGAACCAGGGTGTGCCCACAGCAACAGGTGAGAGAAGATGAAAAGCAATTCATGGATGTGCTGCTCAGCCAGGCCTATCTGTCTGCTCCTCCGTAGTGACCTGTCTGTATGAAAATGGAACTAAGAGGCACTGCATCCAGTAACCCTCCAGGAGGATGTTCAAGCTCCCTTCAGAAGTGTCTTGGGCTTTCCTAAAGACAGAATGAAACCTCAGGGCCCAGGCTTCCTTAGTTCCTGTCTGCCTCATGTGTACAACTCTGAAAGGGCTGAGACCTAATGGTGACTCTGGAGACTGGGCTTGAACTTGGGCTGGGCTTTCCCTTGAGAGCTTAGGGAGAAAACATCAGCTTAGTGTTTGTTTGGGTTTACTCTGCACTTTTTCTAGGTGTCGGTTGATGGTGTGAAAGTAAACAGCACATAGCACTTCTATTCACTGAGGTGTGAGTCACGACAGGCCTAGGCTTCTGGGGGCAATGGGCAGGGTTTTTGGCAGCACATACAACAGAGTTCATAAGGGGCCAAGAGCAGAAGTGGCAGGCTTTGGCCTGCACTCACCTGTGGTGCTTCAGGTCTCAGTAAACAGGTATAGTTGTCCCTCGCCCCTTAGCATCCAAGGGGGATTGGTTGTAGGACCCACCTCAAATACTAAAATGCATGGATGCTCAAGTCCTTTATATCAAATGGCGTGGCATCTGTAGCTAACCTACATACACCCTCCTGTATACTCTAAATCATCTCTAGATTACTTATACCTATTTATACAATGTAAATCAATGCTATCGATGTAATTTAGTAATAATGCTAAGAGGGAAAAATCTGTATATTTTTAGTATGGATGGGAAATTTATTTTTTAGTATTTTCAATCTGCTGTTGGTTGACTCCACAGTTGTGGACCCCAAGGATACAGAAGGCGGACCTTACTGCATTCATTTATTAGCCAGCCTGCAGGTAGGGTGGACAGATGCGAGCAAGACTTAGAATCGGATATGATTCCAAATCTCAGTTCAGCCAGCTATGCAACCCACTCAACTGCTCTGAGCTTCATTCTCTTCCTGTGTAAAAGGTGAACAGTGACATCACCCACTTCAGAGGGTGCTTGATACATCATAGATATCACTCAATGCACATGATTCATTTATCCTTTGAAGAGTCTTCCACCCAAGCCTACTATGTGCCACAGTCTGTATGTGGGGCTAGAAAAACAGAGGTCGATAAAATAAAGTGTTTGTCCCCCAAGAGGTAATATTCCAAATAACTTGCAAACTGATATTGACATTCCAAACATTATCCAAATAGTCTGTAGCCACTAGTCATGTCTGTGTCTTTTAGATTACATGTACTGGATTAAAATCATGGGTTTTCGGGTCAGACAGACCTGGCATCTACCCATGGCTTTGCCACTTACTGACTGAAAAATCTGTAAGTTGCACATCAAACAATCAATTGAGCTTTGCTTTCCATTTCTGTAAAATGGGGACAATAACTCCTGCCTCAATAGTCTCACAGGTTTGGTGTTATAACAAATGAGGAAATGTGTGGGAAGGCCACTTTTGGTTTAACTAACATATCAGATTTTGAACTCTACAAAGTGCACTTCACGTATAATTTCTCTTTTCACTATCATAATAATGTTGTGAGAACATCTGGCTATTATCCTTCTTAGAGGTGAGGCTACCGGAACCCAGACAATGTTAGGACATTCCACAAGGTCATGTAGGCATTTTGTAGACAAGGAAACCAAGCCTGAGAAAAAGCAAGGAATGCTTGCATAATCCACAGAAGCTTTCTTTGCAGCAGCTCTTTCCTATCTATCGCTGGCCCTGCTGTTTCTCCTGTTTCATCCAAGCCAGACCCTGGAAATATGTGAGAAGAAATAGAATCCCCCAGGCAGAGTTTCCCAGACATTTGGTCTCATTCTTTGCATTTGGAGACTGTGATCTGACCATCTAAAACACCCCACTTCCCTGCCAGTTTACACTAGAACGCTCTCCTGGCAGGAAGCTAAAGCTGGCTGGGGCTGAGCAGCCCTCCACTGGCCCTTTACAAGCTGGTTTGTGAGCTCTTACACGTTTTAATGGAAGGGGCCTGAACTGGGTGACCTTGATGTTTATGGGGTGCTAACTGACGGTAACACAACATGTGAGCACTCAGGTTCTCCTTGGCAGAGGGGTTTGTTTGTGTGGAAGAGACTAGGATGAAAGATGGGAACAGAAACTTGAGATGTTGCTTTATCGTTTGGCCTCAGGTTGTAGTCCCTATTGCTTTTTTCCCACAAACACTTTGATTTCTTATTTCTGTCCTGGAAATAAAAGGAACTGCTTTGTTTTTCCTTCTCAGATTCTGCTTTGACATTAAAGCAGATAGAACTTCACAGAGTGGTTGGTGAAAACCAAACAGGACGATGCTACAGAATGTGCTTTGACAGCTCATTTGCCTTTTACATAACGGAAATAGTCCCGTTTGTGAAATTTAGGTTGCAACTTCTCTCTGAGTCTCAGGTTTCCTTTTTTGTAAACTGGAAATGGCATCAACCACTCTAGAGGGTTGTAGAAATTACTCTTCTTTGGTTGATTTTCTGGGTGCTCACTATGAGCACTGAAAGTCCAAATGGTGCCAGTGACAAACACAATTCTTTCCTGACCTCAAGAAGTCTGCATTCTGTCACAGCAGATAGACATAACCTAAACCTGTTAAGGTAAGAGAATGAGTTGGCACAGGCAAAAGTAAAGATTCTAGTATAATGCCAGATGTGCAGACAAAATATAATAAATTTCACATACCCATTTTTATTTAAAAAAAAGGAAAAGAAATGCAGTGGTGAGTGTACAAGACTGATGTCAGAAGGTGAGCTGTGAATTGACTTTTGCAACATGTTCAATATGTGACAACACTGGCAATTGCCAGTTGACTTTCATGCTACAAAAACCAGAAGT